GAACTGTAGTGGGTCCAGTGTGTCTGGTAGTGAAGAAATGATGAAGTCTCTGACCAGGCGTTCAAAGCACTTCATCACTACTGAGGTGAGGGCTACAGGGCGACAATCATTGAGAGAAGCAGGGTGGGGTTTCTTCGGGACAGTCACTGTCTCCAAACCCTACAACATAGGAGGTCTCACTACTGTCTTGTAAACCTTTCCTTTCACTTTTGCTGCTATCCTTCTTCACAAACCACTCCAGTAAAATATATAAAACATAGAAGGCAGCACCAACTACTCTTTGCTACAGTGAAGTCACACATATAATTACAGTATGTGCTTGTGTGTAATTAGCAGTTCCATGACATGCACTTGTCTTGATGCAAGACTGAGAACGTGTTTAGATTTGTTCTCAGTTGACGCATAATTTCACTACTACTACTGGCAGCGTGTGACCGGCCTTACTCTTTCTTACATATTAGAAAAAAAGAAGTTTGCTTTGATTTCATTGCAAATGCTAATGCAATGATGGAGAGCATCCAGGTAAGTCAGAGATCTGTAGTTCTGTTTACAGAGGTGTAACATTTAGATAGCAAATGCATCAACATGTGCAAATATGGGTGGGAAAATGCATTCCTGATATGAAAACTGTATCAAAGCTATCAAGAAAACCTAAAAAAAATGACAGATACTGTCTAAAAACACCCAAAAAGCTAAACCGCCACAAACAACTAGATAATGGGACCAAATAATGGAATGGAGGGTATTCTACTGGACAAAAATTAAAAGTTGGCACCTGAATATTTGTTGTATTTCAGTTTCCTCCATCAAATTCTCAACAAATAGTCTTTCAGCCCCAGCACCAGTTTTGCCTGTCACTACTAATCACATTCTCCGCACAGACATTACAGCTTCGCCTCTGAACTCAATCCTGCCCATGAACACCAGTTCAGCTAATCAGATCTCAACAAGCACCCACATACCTTCAGTCACAACTCCGGCAGCCAACCAAAGCACACCTGGAGGATTATTCACATCAGGTTAGCCTTTGCTAACATGCAGTCACTCGACATTTTATGTAACTGGAGATTCTGTTTACAGTTTGTGTTAGTAATGAGAAGAAACAATTTGTAAAGTTGGCATTTTCTTTCAGGATCCACCAGATTAGTTCATTGTGATGTCCGTCAACTCTGTTCCAATAACAGTAAGCAAATATTCACTTCTTGTCCTTTCCGATTTCCTTTTTGCATTTGCATGGCCTCACAGATGTATTGCTTTCTGCAGGTGCTTACTATTGGATGCCCATAAGTGTAGAGGGCAACAAGACTAAAGAAGAGGTCCAAAATTTGGTGAGAATGACAAATTTCCCTTGTCCATCTCGTTACGTTTCACATAAATCTTTCAGTTACCATGCTTTACAAACAAGTCTTGTAAGCACAATGTAAGTTTGTGGGAGCAGCGCATTCCAACCCTGTGAATCACCTGAAAATAATTTAGATTTTTTTTACTCCAAATATTTGTTGCTTTATTACTACTTTGACCTTTTACAAATGTTGCTCCCTCTGTGTTATAAATATGGTTCTTTAAACTTTTTTTTGCTTTCTTCAGTGTCTTCTCTTCTCCTTTCAAATTAAATCAAATCACTTTTATTGTCACATCACATGTGCAGGTACATTGGTACAGTACATGTGAGTGAAATTCTTGTGTGCGAGCTTCACAAGCAACAGAGTTGTGCAAAATACAATAATGTAAACAAGCAAAATACAAGAATGGCTACATCTGAAACTAATAAATATATGTACAATATATAATAGTATATGCATTTCTGGATGTGTATACTAAATGTTTTTCTACGTGTGTGTGTGTGTGTGTGTGTGTGTGTGTGTATACACATATTTTACAAATTAAATAGAGTAAACAATAAAATAAAATAAATAAAAATATACATCATTTCCCATCATTCCTAACTTAAATGAACACTTCCTACATAATATTCTTACTGACACTTGATATGCAGTTCTCAGCCTATGTCAGATAGACCTTTCTACATTAAGACCATGATTATTAGCTGTCTCTAGTAGCTGTCTTTGCATAGTAAAGCTAATGATAAAACAAATAAAATGTAATGGCAACAGCAGTAATAGATATACAAATTATTAGACACTGTAGATATATTCACAGTTATTTCGACTAGTCATTTCCTCCCAATAACCCTTTTTGCTTTGTACCATTTTTCTCCTCTCCTTCAGCTTTGTGTTGCAGAAAGAAACTCATTATCAAACAACAAAGTTATGTGATCAAGATATTGTCCACTATGTTTCCCATAAAAGCAACAACCTTACCTGATTTAAATATATACAATGTCCAGTTATGATTCTTTAACCCTTCCTGTCCACTTCCAGCTTTGTTTTGAGATTATACTATACGGTATCATAGTCCCAGCTTCCTTTGACCATTTCTTTCTTTTTTAATTATTGTTATGGTTATTAATATATATTACTGAAGAATAAATTTGTACATAACCATTACAATTCTCAACATGGATCATAAATCAATCCTGCTATATTAAGTCTTTGGTTCACTTTTAATGCTTGATCATTTTGACACAAATCTAGTCATATTTTTAAGGTCCATTGCAAGGAAATAGCATGTAAGCAAAGGTTGTTCAGTGAATTCTCATGCAAGGCTGTCTAATAGTGCTGTGTTGATGCACTGACAGCTCAGAGATAAAAGTCTCAGCTCTGAAGTTTTGTTGCCCAGGAGAGTATGAGTTGTGTCCCACTTGGAACAAAACAACATCCCGGGAATAGCAGTGGGCTGTGTCTTTCTTTTCCCATACATTTTTGTCCAGGAAGTAACACACTGTTTACCACAGCTGAGCTGACAAATAGTCCTTTCAAGCCAGAGGAAACCCAATACACAAAGCTACTATAAATTGTTCAGTATCCTTAGTTTGCCCATTTGCTTAACATATCTAGAATGCGTCAGTAAACATATGAGTCAATATCCAAATTGTATCCTACTGAAGCCACTATACATAACTGTGGCACTTGTAATCTGATCGATCAAAAAACAGTTTCCATGGGATATTTCGTTATACATCATGGAAACTTTGTGTCAAATTGTTCTAATGGCTTAAATTCCTATATTTAAAAACGATAATTTGACTGAAATACATTATGGTTTCATAATATGTATATAAAAGAAAAAAGTGCTTTTACAGTTAAACCTGAGTGGTCTTTATAGCTCTCATCCTGACGTGTAAGACTGCAGAAACTAACAAAACGTGCTACTTTCCTTAAACTTTATACGTCAAACTCCCATCACCTCCCTCAAACATCTCTATCTGTCTGCTTCCCTCTCTCCATCTATCACTCAGGTGTCAAAAGCATTGGGTTGTCACAATGACAGTGTTGATGCAGCAAAAGGAAAAACAGGCTCTTTGAATTTCTGTCAGGGTGACAGACAACTTCAGGTCAGTACAGAAAACGACAACACCTTATATACTTTACAGAATCAAATTTCTCCTGTAAGCCTGGCTCATGGCTTTAACTCTCCTTTTTCTCTTTGCAGGTAGTTGAAGTGTCCTGTAGTGCAAAAAGGAATATAAGGTAAAAAGGATATGAGGAGCTGCTTTGTACAGCTGTTACATGTGCAGCAGATCGTGCGCGCTCACATGAAACTCTTTTGTTTCCAGCCAAACTGCCTGCAATGTGGTGCTGCTGCTCAACCATGCTGTCTCAGTGTGTGAACTTCAACAAGCTGGAGACGCTGCACTGCAGCAAGCTGGAGCACCAATGCAAGCGAGAATCATAGGAGAGATGGAGAGAGTGGGTGAGCACTTGTTTCCTTGCATTTGCTTCACTCTGTTTTGTCTGTGAATTAGTTTCCTGGTCTTCTTTGTCCATCTTCCCGTTTTACTTTGGCAACTGCTCTTTCTTGTGTGCTGCTTCCTTCCCTGTTCCCAACTGCAGTAAAATAGTTCAAAATATGACTTCCTATCTTCTTGATAGAAAACATAATGGTGTCAAGGAAAAGTGTGGATTTAAAAGGAAAAGAGGACCACAGTACCCAGGGTATCGGATTGCACTTATTCAGTACTTGCACAAAGCTCCTGATAATGTTGCTGATGTGGCTTTGTTGTGTTGAAAACCGCAGTGTCCTGAAGATGGATTATAAAAAGCTCATCTTAGATGCTTTGCCCAGTGTCTTCTTACAAAGTGGTATCATGCCAAAGAGAACAACCAGTTAAAAATATACGGCCAAGCAAAAAAAAAAAAAAAGTTAAAAAAAATACAAATTTTAAAATAAATGCTCTTACACTATTTACTTAGGTAAATCCAGGTGGTGACTTAAGTTAATATGTATAAGTTCATTACTGAAAATCAATAAATAGTATCAAATCAAAGGGGTGACACATTGAGATATGTGCTCTAATTTTCTCTCCCTGTTAATCAGAATCAGAATCAGAATCAGAATCAGAATCAGAATCAGAATCAGAATCAGAATGGGGTTTATTGCCAGATGTTGAGGTTTACAACATTAGGAAATTGCTGCGGTGCTTCAGTGCAAACAATAAGAATTAAAGTGCTATGTAGAAAGAAAGATATGTGCATGAGATATACATGAGATATATACATGAGAATAAGAATTATGAGTGCTACGTAGAAAGATATATACATGAGTGCAGGTGGTGATCAGTGCCAAACATGAAATGATGCAGTGACACAGCGTAGGGTCATGTGTTAGTGGCGGGGACAGTCATGTGGTTATTGTTCATGTGTCCAACAGCAGAGGGGAAGAAACTGTTCTTATGGCGAGAGGTTCTGGTGCGAATGGACCGGAGCCTCCTGCCTGAGGGGAGCAGGTCAAACAGACTGTGTCCAGGGTGAGAAGGGTCAGCTGAGATCCGAGCTGCACGCCCCAGTGTCCTGGAGGTGTACAGGTCCTGCAGAGATGGGAGTCTGCAGCCAATCACCTTCTCAGCAGAGCGCACAACACGCTGCAGTCTCTGTTTGTCCCTGATAGTGGCTCCAGCGTACCACACGGTGATGGAGGAGGTGAGGATGGACTCATGATTGCAGTGTAGAACTGCATCATCGTCCGTGTTGGCAGGTTGAATTTCTTCAGCTGCCTCAGGAAGTACATCCTCTGCTGGGCTTTCTTGATGACGGAGGTGATGGTGGGCTCCCACTTCAGGTCCTGGGTGATGGTGGTACCCAGGAAGCGGAATGAGTCCACAGAGGTGATGGGGGTGTCAGTCAGGATGATGGGGGGGAGTGGGGCTGTGTGCTTCCTGAAGTCCACAATAATCTCCACTGTCTTCTGGGCATTCAGCACCAGGTTGTTGTGGCTGCACCAGGACACCAGACGTTCAACCTCCCTCCTGTAGGCAGACTCATCCCCGTCCGAGATGAGTCCCAATAACGGTGGTGTCATCTGCAAACTTGATTAGCTTGACAGACTGGTGGGTGGAGGTGCAGCAGTTGGTGTACAGGGAGAAGAGCAGAGGAGAAAGAACACAGCCCTGAGGGGAGCCGGTGCTGATGGTCCGGGAGTCCGAGACATTCTTTCCCAGCCTCACGTGCTGCTTCCTGTCCGTCAGGAAGTCAGTGATCCACCGGCAGATGGGATCAGGCACATTCATCTGGGAAAGCTTGCCTCGGAGATGGTCTGGAAGGATGGTGTTGAAGGCAGAGCTGAAGTCCACAAACAGGATCCTGGCGTAGGTTCCTGGGGAGTCCAGATGCTGCAGGATGAAGTGTAGGGCCATGTTGATGGCGTCGTCTACAGACCTGTTGGCTCTATATGCAAACTGCAAGGGGTCCAGGAGGGGGGCGGTGAGGGTCTTGAGATGGGAGAGAACCAGGCGCTCAAATGACTTCATGACCACAGATGTCAGAGCCACGGGTCTGTAGTCATTTAGTCCAGTGATCCTAGGTAAAGAGATGATCTCTTGTTAATACTTGTGTGACTTAAGTAAAATTTATGCTTGATAATACTTGAGGCTGAAAATACAGCAATAGACCTAGCTAATGAAAAGTGAATTATGGTAAAGGAGTGCTTCCCACCTAACAAGTTGAGAGGTGTGGTACACTGTGGAGTGTGAATGTCTGTCACATGTTAGCCATGTGACAGACATTCACACTCACATTCAGACCTACGACCAGTTTAGAATCACCATTCAAACTATTTGCACATGCAAATTCCACACAGAAAGGCTCCAGTTTCAAGGCTTAAAGTCCAGGACCTTCTAGCTGTGAATCATCAGCTAGATGATTAATCATATCAAAACAAATATTTAACTCATTAAATGGAATCATGTGAACCATCCTAAAAACCACACCCAATAATATAACTATTTTTTTCCAAGTTTCTAACTAAGTTTTTTTTTTTTACAAACATGGAACCTGCATTCATTTTTGAATTAAGTGTACACATGGAAATATTAGACCTGTTGTAATCAGTCAACTTAACCAGTGATATTACAGCAAACAGGAGTAGGCTGACAGACCTCTCAGAATCCATTAATCGTCACTGGACTTTTTGACTCACACTGTTCACTCACCCACCAAATATACATTTATCTTCATCTCTGTGTTTTCATAGCTATTCAGGCATACCTGTTCAACTTTACTTACCAATATTTATCAAGATTAACAGAATTGTTATAACCACAGGAGATGGATTAGAGTTCCTCATAACAACTCTGAACTGACTAGTTTCTGATATAATGCAATGGAATGGGCTGAACATCAGCTTGGAGTTGGAGATTGCTTTAGATTTTTACACTCAGTGTCCACTTTGATAGGTACACCTAGCACTTGGTCGGAGCCCTTTTTGGCTCAGAACGGCCTTAATTCTTTGTGGCACAGATTCAACAAGGTGCTGCAAACATTCTTCAGAGATTTTGATCCAAATTGGCATGATGCCATCATACAACATCACTCAGCAACTATGTGAATCTCCTGTTCCAAGACATTGCGATTGGTCTTGCCTTCTTATCAGCTTGAAATAGTCTGGCTCAATGGATGTTTTCTTTTTTTTTTTTCTCAAATTGAAATGATCTGTGAGTGAAAATCCCATTAGATTAGTCATTTCTCAAATACTCACACTAGCCATCTAGCCCCATCACAGGGGCCTAAATAACTTTCTTCCCCATTCTGATGCTCAGATTGAACTCCAGCAGGTTGTCTTGATCATGGCTACGTGCTTTACTTTTTTGGGCTTCTGCTGTGCTATTGGCTGTTTAGATCTTGTTGTTAACAAGCAGATGAACAGGTGTACCTAACAGGTATATCAGTAAGTAGGATTTCTGATAATATCTGTGCCCGTCATAGAAAATTTGCATTGTGTACGTGTGTGATATTTTCAGCTCTCTCTTGAAAAAAGTATATTAAATAACCAAAATAAGTGCAAAATCAGACATTGACGGATCCAATACTCTCTTTGGATTTTCTCCACATCAGGTCGAAATCTGTGTAAGGATGCAGAGCCCTCTAGTGGCGGTTTTGTGAGATGCAATTCCACATCTTCTCTTGACGATATCTGTCAGTTAAATAAATCCTCCCCACTAACATGGTGAGCAACACACTTTTTTTTTATGTCCACTGGATGTGTGTCTGTACACCCTGTAACTTATACATGTTTAATCTACAGCTTCCTCTTAGAGCCCAACTCCAACCCGGCTCCTAAATTGAAGACAGACTCTTGTAGCAGTGAGTATCACAAACACAGATGCTTTTTATATTCACCCCTGTTTATCAAGGGTTTTGCTGCTGTAACCATGTTTGTCTGATCCTCAGGGGAAATGCCTCACTTCTGTGATTGCACAGCTTTCTGTAATTCTACACGTAAGAAAAATAATCACAATATTGCATTGACATTTTTAGAATCCAGGCTGCTGCTGCAATATGTGATGAGTGAATGCACCATTGTTATTCAAATTTAAAGAAAATATTTAGGCTTTTGGAAAACAGAACGTTGCTTCTATGAAGCAAGCTATCTGAGAAGAGAACTTCTCAGTTAATAAGTATTTTTATGGCGTCTCAGAAACTCCACCCACATACTAACCATCCCTTTTCTTTATCGCTTTCTCAGGCCAATTTTATGCTTTTAGAATCAATGTTACTAGTGAAGCTGTTAACATTCAGTCCCTAAAAAGCTTGGTATGTACCACACTGTATGCTTAAAGCATGCTTCATTAATATATAATTACTATATATATATATATAATGCAACTTTGTAACTTTGTAACCCTATTTGACAGTTACTAAGTCCTGCTGCACTCCTCACATGTCCCACAAAGCAACAGTAAGTCTTGATCCAATTACATTACATACAGTAAGTGTAGATTGTGTTGATATTTACTATGCATTTGTTAGTATCAGTATGTTGGTCACAACAGCAGACAAAGCAACAGTGAGCAGTAAAAAGTTCTGCTGTTAAACTAAACTGTCCTGGTTTTCTGCCTCAGTCACGCAGGCTTAGAGACCCCCTGCCAACCTCTGGTTGATAGGGAAAAATCTATATTGCCCAACCAGCGGTTGACAGTCCTAGTGACTGTCAGTCACCTCAAGAAGCCACTCACCAACCATTTGGAAAATACACATTTTGACAACCGGTTGTTGCCATGGCGTTGGTCTTTGGGCCTGTGTAACTAAGGCCTACCTGGGAACATGGTTCTGGGTTTGTCTGTCTGTTTTTACAATAGAGAGAATAAGAATTGTCATTTAAAGGTCTTCAGGATGTTAAATGTGATTGCTTTTAACAAAATCTGTTTATAATTTACACATATTAAAAATTCTTTCTTACCAGGTGCAGTAATTATAATATTACAAAGCAATATCAGGTAAACCTTACTGTAAACTTGTATAATGATTTCTTGTGTAGGTCTATAATTATTTATCATACTTCTATAATGTGAATCATGTTTTGACTTTCATTACTCAGGGTGCTCATATAGAATGTCATGGGACAAACCAGAGGTAATCATGTTTTGTTTTGGGTTTTTGTTTTTGCATTTTACCTGCACGTATGCTAATGGTAGAAAGAAAAAAGAAATTCCACTGACAGAGTGTAATGTCAATCCAACTTTTTCCTCTTTGCCCTGTTGTCTTTTGGTCTCTAGGTTGTACAGCTGTATGGTGATATTGGAGATGTCTGGACCCGTCAATGTTTGCTCCTTAAAACAACTTTTGCAACAGATCATTGCGAGCAACAATTTATTTACAGCTGAAAGTTCCCTTACTCGCCTGAGTTAGTTTGCATGCTTATTTTGTTATTTTCCTACCAACTGCTTTACATGATATAATAATTTGTCACTGTTACTCATGGTACTCTGTGCTTTGTCAGTGGTGTGTGGTGCTCCTGATTTGCCTGTCCAGAGACTGTTGGAATCCAACCTGACCTGGGTTGTCAGTGACCTGCGGAGCTCAGATGTTTGTCAACCTGATCCTACACGACTTGCATGGTAACAAGAGTATAAAATATAGGCTTATATAAAATGCAGCCTTTGAAAATTATGCCCACATGCTTCATAGTCATGTACATTAACTGTAAGTAGGAAATTTAAGAGTGGGTTTTTTTTCATATTTTCTGTAAATACACAAAAAAGTGCAAGGTTATTGGGGAAGTACTACATTTTTTGTTTCAACATCATTTACACTTTTACATGAGTTTTTTATTTTGTCATTCTTCATTTACAAGTTTTGCTGAATTATTTTTATTACTCTCCTTCAATATTAGATTACTTTCCTATCTACTATTATTTTTTATTATTTTTTATTTATTTATTTTTTGTTTAAGACAGAAGAGCTCTGTGTAAGAAAGTGTTTTTATATATATGTTGATGTCACTTACTATATTGTGAAAGTTGTTCATTTTTCCCAAAATTGTATACAATCTGTTAGAGGAGATATGTTTTATGTCCAGTAGACTCTAATAGGATATAATTTCTAACCTATTTATCATATTTTTTTTCCACAGTGAAGCAAGTGAGACACTTGCTGTTCTTCTGACTGACAGCTGCCCTTCAGACACTTCAGCTGTTCCAACCACAACAGAACTTTCAACTCTGGCCAACGGCATTACTGCAGCTATGCAATCTTTGACTGATACCACCAAATCGTTGACCAATACAAGTGGAGATGTTTATGCAACAATTGAAAATACAGTGCAAAAAAAAGAAAACACAACATTTTTTCAAACAACTGCCAGTGCAAAGTCCCCATCAGCACAACCTATTCTTCAGAATAGCTCACAAATAGTTCCTTCAACTGTGTTTAATAAAACAACAGTGCAAAATACTTTACCTAATGAAACCCAACTAACCAACACCATAACCAGCGCTTTCATAGCAGTACACAACAGCACAACTGTTATGCCTGATTCACTGCTTAAGAGTACTACACTCTCTAAAATAACAAATGCATCTACACCATCTCCTAATCAAACTGTACACAAAGCAACTACAACAGCAACATCTCCAGATCTTACAACAATATACAATGTAACTACAGCCACAGCATATGCCAAAGATTATACAACAAAGAACAATGTAGTTGCAGTTACACCCTCTTCCATCAACAATGTAACATCTCCAGATCTTGCATACAATGCATATAACACAAATCATACAACAAAGACCAATTTAGTTGCAGTTACACCAATTCCCACTGACAATTTAACATCTCAAGATCCTGCAGCAAATGCATATACTGACAATTATGTAACAAAGACCAATATAGATACAGTTACACCATTTCCCACTGACAATGTAACATCTCCAGGTCTTGCAACGGTTACACCATCTCCCAGTGGCACAACAGTGTACAATGTAACCACAACTGGAGCATTTACTCCCACTGGCAAACACACATTTGTTAGCAATGTAACAGCATCTGACAGTAATGACACAACAGGGACTCTAAACAATGTGTATAATGTAACCACAGTAAGCAAAAACAAGGCAGTATATAATAGTTCAGAAAGTTCAGTTAGCAGTACTACAATGTACATTTCAAATGCAGTTGCTTACAATAAAACTGAAACCAGCAACATTAACACAACAGCCTACAATTCAGTTGTATCAGGTAATAATTACAATACAACTACAGCTAAAAATAATTCTACAACAGTGTACAGTGAAACTACAGCTGGTTACAGTTACAGAGAAAATGTAACAAAAGCAAACAATACAACTACAGTAAACAATAATTACACAACAGTGAGCCCATTTTTAACATCTCTGAACAATACAACACCATACAATTCAATTACATCTGGCACCAGTGACAGAGGAACTGGCAACAGTTACAACGCAACTACAGCCAGCAACATTTACGCAACAACCTACAATTCAGCTATGTCAGACAACAATTACAACACAACCACAGCCAGCAATAATTCTACAACATTGTACAATACAGCTATGTCCAACAATAATTTTACAACAGCGTACAATGCAACTACGGCCAGAAACAATTATACAACAGTCAACAGCGCAACCCTAACAGGTGACAGTCACACAACATACAATACAACTACAGCTGGCGATAGTTATTCAACAGCATACAATCAAACTACAACAAGCAAAAATGGCAGTACAGCGTATAATGCAACTATAGCTGGTAGCAATTACACAACAGTGTACAGTGAAACCACAGCTGGTAACAGTTACACAGTGCACAGTGCAAATACAAGTGCCAAAAATTCAACAACAGCATACAATACAACTACAGCAAACAACAAT